ATATCGTCAATTAAGAAAAAATATGAAATGCTTTCTCAAGTGGTCCTATTTATTCCAAAAAGAGTCACCAAGGCAATGCTTTGCATCCACTAGGAGATCCTATGCAAGTAGATCGAGTCGCTATTGCTTTGCTGTGGTCAACAAACGCATCCAATTAAGCAGTATCGGGAAAGTAAGGGCTCGGCTGTAAATGTGGCCGTAAATGCGGCCGGACAGTCTGAAACCGAATAACCTCACTAATAGGGGCTATTGTTCAGCGTGGAAGTTCCCATTTTCCAATCAGGAAAATACAGCCGGCTCTGGGCTCTGGGCGACTGATCCCTTCCCACCTACGGCTCAACAATCTGCCACCAGCAAGGGGCTTTTATTACCTCCCTTCCCAGGAAATGTCGGGCAACTTCCTAGTAAAGCTGCCTGTAAGCAGGAGTGGACAGCAAAAGGGCACCTCTCAGGATTCCACAGGTCCACGCCTGGCCAGGTTTTCTTTTCAACAGGAAAGAAACTTTGGCCAGAGAGCTTCTGACGAGAAGACACCCCCAACCTGGCCCAGCCCGCTCCTCCCAGCAGCTGCCCGCGCCGCTCGGCTCCCTCCCCGCCGGTCTTCACGCCTTATTTAGCAGCGAAGGCGTCCGCGCGAAAGGTCCCTGCACTGTGGCCAGGGAATGGGGGCCTTTTCCAGATTTTGGGAGAGGCGCCCGCCAGGGACGCGCGGCCGGTGCCGCATTCACTGGGTCCGCCTCGGAGACGCTTGCACGTCCCTGCCAACATTCAGGAAACCAAGATGCGCAGAGCCCGGTTTAAACGTACCCAGCAGAGGTACGCGCCTCTATTATATAGTCCACGTGCATTTTTTTTCCTATTAGGCTTTTTCAGCCCTGTGTATATACCGGACCACACTTAACGCATTCAAAACCGTATTTGGTGTAGAGGTGTTTGCCAGACACTTGAAAGCCTAGATAACTTTGACGTTTTCCACTATAAATCCCTAATTGTACCTAATGGTTACAAATGGTTTTATTTACTTGTCTCTGTATCTACACATTTTAATCTATTTAACTAAACAGCGGAAGCATATTTCACTTCCCTCTCCCCGAAAAAGAAAGGCACGGATCGAGGCCTCTAATTTGCTTTTAGGACCTTCTATTTCTTTGGTTGTGAAAGCCTAAGAGCTCCAAATCGCAGCAGCATTGATTAGTCTCAAACCCGCCTGCAAAAAATCTCCCCTTCTCAGCTCTATCTAAGGAGATGTTGATGTATATTGTAGCTGCAAGGTGTTAGATATACTTGAGCAAGTTGTTCCCAGGATGTAAATTAGGTCCCAAAAGCTGTTGTCCAAATCGAAGAAACAGAGAAATTAATCTGGGAGACTATCCATCATCACCCGTAATAAAGAGAGCGACATGGATGAGACAGATGATATGATTAAGGGGCTGTGGTCGTTTTAATTAACTTTTTGCTGTCCTGTAATGATCAAACTGGTCACCAGACCCGGTCAATAAGCATGTTAATATCAAACAAATAAAACCAGGGATGATTAAAAACCTCCTGGTTTATTAAATTTGAAATTCAAATGAAATTTATGCTGCAGATGCATACAGAATGCTAATAGATTTTAGCTTTATTGAAAGTGGATCCCACAGGTTTGCAAGAAACAGCAGAATATCCATCTACCCCACTCCCTGCCAGCGTGGTAAACTTCATATGGGGTGGGGGAAACTTTTAATTAATGTTAGAAAGCCTGCAATGTCTATCTTTCTTCCCCTTTCCCTTCCAAACCTCTGTATCACCACAGTATAATACTCAAGAGTAATGATCAATATCACAAAAGGTAAGCTGTACTGTATGAGCCATGAAATGCTTTGCCCAACAGTCTCTATCTATAATGGATTACAGATGTTCCCTCCTGTGGGAGATTCACAAATGATCCAGTTACTTCTCCAAAGTGAAGAAAGAGCTGCCTTTAAGATCAGTTTCATTGAAACCAGAAGCAAGATTATTGCTGTTTTAATTTTTGGTCAATTATATAATGACCTTTATCTTTCCTTTTTAACTCTGCTGTCTTATGCCTTATGACAAACACTAACCACTTCTTTTGGGGTAGATGTGGGGGGGAGTAGTATAAGAAAAAAATACCCTTTGACCAATACTACTATGAAATAAACATCAAATTATTTTTTAATGGGAGTAAATGGAATATATGCATATTTCTTCCAATGAAGAAAGATGCACAGACCTTTATGAAAATCCCCAAATGCTGCAAGCCAACCTTATGCAAATTCAAGACTCCAGTACATTCATTAAATCCACACCAATGTTGTGACCTATTGTCATAGGAAGAATTACATATGATTCCACAGCAAATTTATACAAATTAAAAAAATCTTACAAGTAGGTAGCTCAAAATTGTAATCACAAGATGCTGAATTTTTCTAATTCCTGGCATTTTTTTGAGGAAACAACTGTTAATGCCTCTGTTTACACTCAGAATCAGTATTTAACTTTTTAACAGTCCTGCCTCACTTCCTTCCAGAAGATAGGAGGATAAAAAGATAAAATAAATAACTATTCATAGAAGGGAGTCTTCCTTCAAAGCTTTTTTTCTTTACCTTTGAGGGTGATGATATTCATTAGAATTAAACCCCAAATTTGAACAATTGTGTATTAGGTCCTTAAAATGGATATCATTATAGAAGAAGACCAAAGCAATGAAGTTAATTCTCTTTTATTTGTTAAATGGAGTTCCCTCCTTCCCCACCCCTTCCTCCTTCTGGGCTGGCCTGTCACGCCTTCTCAACACGCTAAAATCATTCAGAGTGGCTTGCAGGGAGAAACACGACATTTATAGTAAGCGTCAGCCTTCAGAGAAAGAAAGCAGTTCATTAATTTACTTCACACTTGCTTCAAAGTATGAGAGTGTACCTTACCCCCTTAATCAATAGATATGATGTACAGTCAATATCCCAATGCTGTTAAAAGGGGGTCAGAAACACATACTCTCACACCACAAACATCAGCCTCAATTCTGCCCAATGAAACTTACACAAATGATACAACCTGACTTTGGAGTTCAGTAAACCCCAGGAGGATTTTTTTTTTTTTTTTTTTGATATCTCCAGAAGCTGTGATGCACTTGAGGAGGGTTCAAAAACAACAATAAAATAAAAAATGTTTCCCCATTCAAAACAAAATATTTATCCCAGCTAGTAACATTTTAATCAATTCTGCCTTAAAATTAGATTTCTGAGAGCATTTGTAACTGCTTAAAAATATGAATTACGTTTTTGAAAGATATGAATATTCAATAGGGCTCCAAGGGCTCTGGACTTTTTGCTACACTGGTGTGGTGCTTTCTGTGGTTTAAGATGTTCCCTGTGGTGGTAGTGAAATTACAATGACATTTCTGAAGGCAACTAATAACATAAATGGCAATCAAGTTCTAAAATCCAACGAATTTGAACTCAGTGTATCTATTAACATACACACATTCGTAGGTGTCTGGCCCAAACACCATTAAACACAGACAGCTCTGTACATGTGGTCCAAGATTTGTCAAAAGCTTGCCTCTGTTCTCAGATAAGTAAAACTCACAGATTTCAGTGAAAATCCTGATTTTTTTTTTCTCAGAAAGAGGCAGTGGGGTTTCCTGGGAAAACTTCTAAACTCCGTAAAACGCTCCTTAATTTCTCATCCAAAGAAAAAACAATACTCTCTCACCCACTTCTCTATCTAATCCTTTAGTGTTGAAATTTACTCATCGCCACGGGACAAACACACCCTCTCCCCTAGAGTGAGACTTGCACTTCCAAGGCCGAATCCCACCTCTGAGGGGGGACGGACAAAAAAGCCACCGCATCAGAGTAACAACTCGTGGACGCAGGCGCACACACGCCCTAACGCATCCCTAAAAATACCCCTCAGCTTCCTGACATTGTTACCCTTCGGCTGTAGAGCCAGGAAAGGAAAGTTGTAGATATTAATGCGATTTTCTTGAAAAGCGTAATGACAGTGTCCAAGAAATTAAGAAAAACCAGAATCACTCAAGATTTTAGGTACAAGGAACCAGAGGAAATTGGCGACAGTGATAGCGTTGGTGCGTATTTATTTACTCAGCCTCACTCAACTTCGCAGTCAGTTTCACTCTTCAAATCGCCAATCTCTCTTACGTACTTACAGTTTACTGCACTGTTGCTATTCTCCACCCCCAGCTTTGTTGCACACACGCACACACAACCCCCTTCTCTTTCTCACAAACACACACACATTCACACAGCCTTCCTCTCTCCCACCTCAAGTGCACACACGCTCATCCACCCTCCCTCCTCTGTCGCACACACACACCTAGTCACATTCCTCCTTCTCCCCCCACACCAAACACACTCACACACCACCTCCCCCAACACACATTCTACCACACTGTCCCTCTTCCCTCCCGAGGTCTGTAGGTTTGTCACTCAGTTACACTACAGTTCACTCACACCCTTCCCCTCAACACTTCACTGATCTGTCCCTCTACCCCCTTTGTCACGCACGCAGTTATATTGTCACCCACCCATCCTCTCTCTTCTCTGCACTGTCCCTCCCCTCCCCCGCACTTCACCGCCCTGGGACTGTGGTACCGCCACACTCACACCCCCCTCCCCCCGAGTCTGCACTGTCTTCTCCTTCTCGGCTTGGTCACACGCACACAGTTACAATGTTACACACTCACACGCCCGCTTTGTAACACACACGGTCGCCCGCGCCCCTCCCGCCGCCGCTCCCGGGCCCCCGCGGCGGCCGGCGGCGGCGCCGATGACCTCACGGCGCGCGCGCGGCGCGGCCCGGCGAGGCCGCAGATTGGCTGGCGGCGCCTCCGCGGCACTTCAAAGCCGGAGAGGGAGCTACAATTGTGGTGGAATGGGCGGAACTGATCATTGTATTGCACACCTCTAAAAAAAACACTGCCTCTGATTTATCAATATAAAAAAGATCCTCTGAGAGGAGGAGGGCACTTTTGTGTGATGGCAACTTCACTTCTAGGGGTGAGTCTCAGGATTTTCTCTTGCTGGTTTAATTAGTTTCCTTTTATTGCCGATCGGAGGGGGTTAAAGTCGCCCCGGCCAGGCCACGGGCTATCAGTCTCTATTGAGAGCTTTTTTTTTTTTTTTTCCTTTAAATACAAGTGAGTTTGGAGAAAAGAAAGAGGGGGAGAGGGGGGCAGAGTCACTTTTTTCAGCGCAGGAAAAGGTTCGAAGGGCATTTAGGCAAGCCACCTCGCAACGCCCGGCCACTCCGTGGCCGGGAGCGCCCAGCCCATTTTACATGCGACGATTTCGGGGTAAAGAGAACAAGTTTTTTCTCCTGGGCAAACTGCAGATTTTCCCTCTTCCCCTTAAAAATATTCCGCAGCCCGCCTTGTCTTGCAGGTACGTTGAACCCGTCTCGTTTTTAACTAGCGTAGTTTTTTTTTTTTTAAAGAAAATTAAAAGAAAAGCAGGAAGAGCGAGCGAGCCCTATAGTTTGACCTCTTTTGGCCTGGGAGAAACAACCCAGGATGGGGATCCGGGGAACCGGAACAGGATTTTCAAAGCTCTCTCTGGATTACAGGGGAAGCGCTCTTAAAAGCAATCCAATGGTTTTTCCCCAGGCTTCTCGGCAAAGGAAACTTCCTTCCTCCCCAATCTGGACTTTTTGCTTGCTTGTTTGTTTCGAAGTGCCCGGGGCCTTGTGTGCACGAGAGTGTTGTTTTAGGTGAGAATACTTGTCAAAGTCTTCTTGAGCATGGCGCTTTGCTCCCGAATCTGACGCCGGCAGCCAAACTTGTCCCCTCTCGTAGAGTAGGAAGCAGCTGGGCGCCGGGGCTATTGGGGGAGCCAGGTGAGTTGGTGGCGGTGCGCCGCAGCGAGAGATGGGGTGCAGTGGGGCGTTTTGGAGGCTACCGGAGAACTGATGCACATTTCTTTCCTCCCTCCCCCACCGGCCCTTTGCCCACCTCCCCTCCCCCACCCCTTCTCCTTTCCTCCTTCTCGCAGGAAGAACCGAGGTTGGGATCGACTCCTCTGGCCATGCTTGCTGCTACCTGTAATAAGATCGGCAGCCCCAGCCCGTCTCCCTCCTCCCTCTCCGACAGCTCTTCTTCCTTCGGTAAAGGCTTCCACCCCTGGAAACGTTCCTCGTCGTCCTCCTCTGGCAGCTGCAACGTAGTGGGTTCCAGTCTCTCAAGCTTCGGCGTGTCGGGGGCCTCCAGGAACGGCGGCTCGTCCTCGGCGGCCGCGGCGGCCGCGGCGGCTGCGGCGGCCGCCGCAGCCCTGGTGTCCGACTCGTTCAGCTGCGGCGGCTCGCCGGGCTCCAGCGCCTTCTCCCTGACCTCCAGCAGCGCCGCCGCCGCCGCCGCGGCCGCCGCCGCCGCCGCCTCCAGCTCGCCCTTCGCAAACGACTACTCGGTGTTCCAGGCCCCTGGCGTATCGGGGGGCAGCGGCGGCGGCGGCGGCGGCGGCGGCGGCGGCTCTTCGGCGCACTCGCAGGACGGCTCCCACCAGCCGGTGTTCATCTCCAAGGTGCACACCTCGGTGGACGGGCTGCAGGGCATCTACCCGCGCGTGGGCATGGCGCACCCGTACGAGTCGTGGTTCAAGCCCTCGCACCCGGGCCTGGGCGCCGCCGGCGACGTGGGCTCGGCCGGCGCCTCCAGCTGGTGGGACGTGGGCGCCGGCTGGATCGACGTGCAGAACCCGAACGGCGCGGCCGCGCTGCCCGGCTCGCTGCACCCTGCCGCCGGGGGGCTCCAGACCTCGCTGCACTCGCCGCTCGGAGGTTACAACTCGGATTACTCGGGCCTGAGCCACTCAGCCTTCAGCAGCGGCGCCTCCTCGCACCTGCTCAGCCCCGCTGGGCAGCACCTGATGGACGGCTTCAAGCCGGTGCTGCCCGGCTCCTACCCGGACTCGGCCCCGTCGCCGCTGGCCGGCGCTGGGGGCTCCATGCTGAGCGCGGGGCCGTCGGCGCCGCTGGGGGGCTCCCCGCGCTCCTCCGCCCGCCGCTACTCGGGCCGCGCCACCTGCGACTGCCCCAACTGCCAGGAGGCGGAGCGCCTGGGCCCGGCCGGGGCGAGCCTGCGGCGCAAGGGCCTGCACAGCTGCCACATCCCGGGCTGCGGCAAGGTGTACGGCAAGACATCGCACCTCAAGGCGCACCTGCGCTGGCACACGGGCGAGCGGCCCTTCGTGTGCAACTGGCTCTTCTGCGGCAAGCGCTTCACGCGCTCCGACGAGCTGCAGCGGCACCTGCGGACCCACACGGGCGAGAAGCGTTTCGCCTGCCCCGTCTGCAACAAGCGCTTCATGCGCAGCGACCATCTCAGCAAGCATGTGAAGACACACAGCGGCGGCGGCGGCAGCTCAGCGGGCTCGGGCAGCGGCGGCAAGAAGGGCAGCGACACCGACAGCGAGCACAGCGCCGCCGGCAGCCCGCCCTGCCACTCCCCTGAGCTTCTGCAGCCCCCGGAGCCCGGGCACCGCAACGGCCTCGAGTGATGCGCACCCCGCGCCTGCCCCCTCCCCGACCCCTCGCGCCCCTGTCTGTCCTGGCCTCCGCTCCAGCCTCTCCACTGCACCCTGCTCGCGCTGTCGTCTCTTTCTGTCTCTGTCCCTCTCTTTTAACTCCCTTTGTGACATAACTTTGTAAAGGGGGTATGGACATGTAACACGCATTGCTCTCCTGGGTCCTGGCTTTCCCTCTCCACCCGGTAACACTGTCGGAGTCAGTGCAGCCAGAACCGGCGCCGCCCCGGGCCTGTAATTCTCGTCCTTTCCCTTGGGTCCTCCCTCCGCCATCTCTAGGTTGTGACGGGCATATCTTTTAGAGGGAAGCGGCCGCTGGAGGTAGAGCTGTTCGAGTCCAGTGCCTGGGAGACCGGAGGCCTCCGCACGGGCGGGAGCAACTCGGCTGAGCAAGGTTGAGCCGCGCCGTGGGAAGTGCGAGGCAGGAGGCCCGGGCAGGGGCATCCCCACTGGGCAGCTGCGGACTTGGTTCCAGAACCGCAGTCTTGGGCGTCTGGGCTTCGGAGAGCCCTGCCCTGCCGCTGCGCGCGGCCGCTCGCCCTGTGCAGAGCCGTCGGAGCTCTCGGGGGATGCCCCTGCGGCGGCGCCGAGACCCGGGGTTTGCAGAGTTTGGCTCTCCCAACGTCAGCTCTGCCTCTTTTTCTTTGTTCCCTGAGGTGGAACCGATGCAAGTTTCAGCTAAGGGCAGTCTTGGCGAATCGCTGCAGCAGCCTTCTTTCATCTTTATAACTTTTTTTTTTAACTAAAGAAAAAAGCTCGGCATCCTTCCACATGGTTTCCCTTCTAGATAGTTTTTCCTCTAGCAGTGAGCAAGTCTTTCTCTAGAAACTGTGCTAATATTGATCCCAAAGTTATTTTGATCGCATTAACTTAACTTATGGGGTGGGGGTGGGAGTGAGGGTAGGTGTCTTTTTCTTATGCAAAAATACCCCTTTCCGGTGAGACCAGATTAACTATCACCGTGTTTGTCCTTTTCTACCTCGTTTTCACCACTCCCGAGCATAATCTCCCAATCATTTTTTGCTAGTTCAGCCGTCAATTTGTATAGTACCCATCTGTAAATTCTCGCAATTCATTGAAGATTCTTAGGGTTAAACTTTTTTTGTGTGTGATTTAAACTTCTAAACAAATGAAGAAGCTATCGTTTATTTCAGACGAGGCTGTAGTTTAAATGCCAAAAGAGGGAAAATAGGAAAAAAAAAAACACTTTGTAAAATATATCTGAACCTAATGGTTTGTACAACTGGAGAATCGTTCTAGATTAGTTACCAATTAACTATAACTCCACCAGTGTATGGGTGTGAGGTGCAGTTGTCCAGGAGACGATTTTGTATAGTATTTTTCTTGTACATTACTTTCAGTAAATATTTGAAAATATATTGAAGTAAACTTGATTTTTTTTTTGATCACAAGAAAATATTAAGAGTTATTGTTGCAGTTCTGATGAGCTGCAGGTTTTTTGAACTCACTTCTGGAGGTGCAGAGCCACAAACGCACTTTCGGGGCCTAGTTTTGCTCGAATATGAATTTAGATAGGTATCAAACTGTAACTAAGACAATATTTGATAAATGTGGGATGACATTTAATTTAATGGAGCATGTACTTATTTGCATTTGCTGGCAGTTCAGGCATAGTTAAAGTGAGAGTTCTCCTATATTTCATAATAACTGGGTCTGCCAAAGCCCATGTATTAAATAAATTGTCCAAGTGAAACTCAACTAACTTCGGCCTTTGTGTATTTCCTGAAGGTAATATTGTTAACTGTTAATAAACACTCCTGACACTACATTTAAACGTTTGCAGATTCTGCAAACTAATTGTTCATTGTAATGTTGAAATAATTTGGATATTTCACATTGAAATGAAAAGCCTTTCTCTGGAACATTTTAGACTTGCATTTTAAATGCATGAAATGTAATTGATTTATTTGTAATATTTTAAATGGTATTAATAAACTCAGATAAAAGACTAGGCCAGTTAATTTGGGTTTTTTTTCCCCTTTTTAAACTATGGACATTTGCATTTTATCTTCAGTTAAATGTCTAATTTAAACAAAATTTAACCCTGTTCTTGTGGTAATATTTAAAATTGCCTTTAAGATATTACTTAGATGGAATCATCTATTTGGCGAAGCTATGTTTTCTATTTACCAAGATAAAGATTATAGTGTCTAAGAAATGTAATTAATTATTTACCAGTAGATTTAGCTCAAAGCATCAGGATTTACTGACCTCTTAAAATTTGTTCTAAGTCACCGAACAATTCAAAGAAACTTCCCTGTTCTGCTTCCTTCTCACTCTCTAGAAGGAGTCAGGTTGTTGGCCATTGATTGCATTTGGTATTTAAAAGGCCAAGCCTTACATTGGAACATCAATACATCTAAAATAAAAACATGGGTTTGGGGATAACTTTTGTTGTTAGGAGGTGGAGGAGGTCAAGCTAACAAAAGCTTGTTTTTAGCATTCCATGTCTTAGCTAAAGATTATGTAGAGGTAAATATCAGTAGTAGATTCCTGTTGAAATGAGTTATCTGTCCTTTTAAAGTTTCTAAACAGCCACCAAAGAAGAGGAAGGTTAAACCTTAATCTATTTACTAGGCTATTGTTCATAGGTGTCAATGATGCCAATAAAAAAATATTGTCTTGTTATGTCTAAGTGCATTTAAGCAATGAGTGTTCCTTGAGCCATACTTTGAAACATGAAATACTTTAAATGTTGATTGCTGTTATATCAAACTATTTCACTATTAGATTAATATTATTATTTTGGATCAAATTGAATAAAAAGTTAGTGTGTTCAGATTCTTATAAGTTTAGCTTCTTTCTTTCCGTTTGCTTTCTCCTCACCCCAAGTTCAGTCTTGGTGTACGTCTTGAACTGAAAATTTTTTATTAAAATTTATATAAAGTCATTATTATCCACAGAAACAAGTGAAAATACAGAGTGCCATGAAGTTTGTAAATTCAGAGGAAAAAACCAATTAGGGATAAAATGTCTCACAATAGTGCGGTTTGTGCCCACGTAGCAGACTGCCTCCATCCTGCTGTCTATGCAGATATTTGAGATCACCAGTCCTTATGGTTTTAGGCAAGCAAGGTAACTCTGATTCTTTGGTATACTGTAGCTCTAAATAATGGTTTAAAAAGTAAAATAGTCTCTTTCTATCACTTTCTTCCTAGGAATAACACGCAGAACACAGTTTAAGTGTTGTTCCTTTTTATTGAAAGTTGCAGTGCTGAGGGATTCGGAGAAAATGGTTCTGAAGGAGTTAAATGTAGTGGCAGGTAAGAGGAAAGCGGCTTGGTACATTTATGATATCAGTTGCGTTACATACAGAATCACACTTGATTTAAGAGGTGGATGATGACAAGGAGGGATATTGTCTGGAAGAAGATTTCTTTGGGGTGGTTGAAGGGGGGATAGATGTTTTTACTGTAGTATAGATGCGCAAACTTTCACTTTCTTCCTTCGGCTCCTCCTGCCCCTTCTAGCTTTGGTTTATTTTGTTTTGATGGTTATTGAGCAGTATTTCTAGATTCATTTTCTGCAGGGTTCCCTTTTGAGGAGGAACATCCTCTTTTCGGAGGACAGAGGATAGGGTGCCAAATTGTGATTTCTCCCTGCTTTGTCTGTGATAAAGCACCTCTTACCAGTGCCTGGAGACTCACTCAAAAGAAGCCAAAAGCTGAGTCTCATGTTGAACCAAGGGCCCAGCTTCCGGTCTTGCAGATCAAGGTAGAGTTAAACTAGTTGTTGACCCAGAGGTCAGGCCAGCATATATCAGTCCACCCTCCAGAGATGAGAATAGGGCTGCGGCTCAGTCCAGTCTTTCTGTTGACCTGCCTCCTTTCTTCCCCAAACTTGAGTGTTTCTTCTCTGTCCTGCTTTCTCCTTTTCTGGTTCAACTTCTGTCTTTTTGGACAATCTCTTTCATCTAAGGACACGACTGTGATTTGTTGAGGTTGGACTATCAACTAAAATATTTTATGCTAGAAACTTAAGGTAAGTAAATGTGATGAGTTACTCTTCTATCTCAACTGATCTTGGAAAAAGTTTCTGGAAGGGTTTGCCTTCCGTCCACTCTCCTCTTATCCCAGTCTTGGTATAATTCTCAACTGGGCTTCCTTTGGGGAGAAAATGCTGAAATGAAAAATTAAAGACAAGCAAGCCGTGAGACTGGACTCCTGAGTGGGCGGATCGATAATCCTGCCATCAACATTTTCATCTCCCTGAGGATCGTTTGGTGAGATTATTGAACGAAATGTTACAAAGGCCTGTGGAGGAATTTCTTTAAAATAAATATTTTATTTTGGAGGATTAACTCAAAGGTCAGATGATCTTTTAGGCGGTAAATTAGGGGAGGAACTTTAGAGAAAAAAAGTATGGATTTGATTATTCTCTGGTTGCCTAAGATAGTAGAGGTAAATATTAAAATGAAAGAAGTTATACATTTTGCTCCATTTTTCATTCAAATAACCTCAAAGAGGGATTGATTTGATGCAGATATTTTGAATAAACTGGATTTTAATTTTACTGCTGATTTTTTGCTGCTTCTGTCCAAACAGGCATTATTATTTCTCCCTACACCTCCAAGAAAAACTCAGGTATGATCAAGGCTCTTTCTCTCTTTTAAAATACATGGTTTCTACAGTTCTCTGCTTTTCTTTCTTTCTTTGAAAAATAGCCCAGCAGACTAATTCTATCACTATTTAAAGAAAATCGTGTTAAGTAAGGAATCAAAAGGAGTGAAGTGTAGAGTAATGCTGTACTCATTTTTAAGTTAGGACTGTCGTTCTGGGTGGCGTCTTTTGAAGACTTTGCTGGATATACAATTGTTGCTGTTGTTTAAAGAGTAAGATTCAGAATTTTCGCCCTATTTATTCCCTGCTTCCGGATTAAAGGAAAGCCGGTAATTCCTTGCTATCCCGGGCTCCAGCCGCCGCGGTTTAAGGGGACGCGCGTCAGTGGACATCCCTTTTACGTTCGCTGCACTCCCGGGGCGCAGAGGTGTTGATTTGCTGTTGGGGGCGGGGCGGGGGGATCTATTTTCTTTGGTCCCTGGGCGCATGTTTAATTTAATTTAATTTTCTGCGGCGTCTCCTGGCGATGAGGGAGCAGCCTTATACATTTTGCTTTGGTTCCTAACGACAGTAGGGGCTTCCAGAGGTCTAGGGACAGGGAGAAGAGCTCGGGGGTGATTGCGAACCACAACTAAAGCGCCCGCTCAAAGCTGCCGCTTTTCGCTCTTCTGAGGCCATTCTTTCCAGACCATCCACTGGGGCTTCTTTCAAGCCCACCCCTAACTTTACTTCTCAGGCGCCCTCTGCTTCTCTAGCAGGGCTCTAGGCTGAGGTCTGGGCTGCCCAAAGTTTCCCTTATTCTTTTCCAGCGAATTCAGGGGGAAGTTTTAAGATTGGGAGAATTTCCCAGCCTTTCAAAACGCGACCTCTTCTTTTCTGTCCCCGCTCCTCGACATGCTGGCTGCTCTCAGAAAGAGCCCCGAGACCCTCCCGGCCGAGTTCCGAGAGGACTAGCCGCAGTGTCCGCCCGCGGGGTGCTGCGAGGGGCGGGGCTGCAGCCTGGTGTCTCCCCGCGAGCCCCGGCCCCCGCCCACTGTCCGCCCTGGGCTGCCGCCCGAGCCGCCCCGCGCCGCGCCCGCGCACACAAAGGCGCCGCGGCCGCCTCCACCGGCTGCGCGGACGGCGAGCGCCACCCTGTGCCCCGCGCCCGCTCTGCAGCGCGCCCGGCGCCGACTATGCCGCCGGACCCGGCCGGCGCTTCCCGGCCCCTCCGGCCCTGGGCGAACCCACCGTGGGAGTCGCCTACGTGAGCCTCCTCCGCGCTTGCCTCCTGGCTTTCAAAAGACCCTCGAGCGGGACGGGGTGGGCGATTCCTTCCCTTTCTCTCCAAATCCCAGCATCCTCCCGCTACCCTTGGCCACCCGAGCACCTGGACCTTGGGGTCTCTGTCCCCCCGAGCCGATGTGGCACACCCTGCCTTGCGTCCTGCTGGGGCCGCCAGGCCGGTCTCGGCGTGGACGGACCAAGGTCGTTCTTCCCAAGCTTGTTTGGATTTCTCTCTTGGCCTTCGCGACAGCTGCCTGTCCTCCTTCACCTCCTGTGCTCTTTTCTTGGCCTAACTGCCGCGGTCACTCGCACCCACCACCTCTCCCCACAGGGGTTCGACGAAGCGCAGCGTTCTCCATCGGCGGGAAGTTTTAATCTTGTCATTTTACTATGGATTTGCCAGACTTGAATGAAGGAACTTGCGCACCTTTTCCCACACTATTATGATAAAGGAAGCAAAATTAAGTCTGATTTGCTGTGACAACTCTTAGCCCTTTTTGATTTCAGGAATCAAAGAACAGTTTAGCATCTCGGTGACTACCTAGGGGAGCATTTTACAGATAGATATAGATATATAATCACTGTACTTGTTGAACAGAACTCAACTTTTCTTTACCGCGTTGTACCCAAAACCCAACAACCTCTCTTGTTCTTTCTTCCTCTCCCTCCTTGCATCTCGACCCTATGGGCAGCTGGATATTTGGGGAGCGCTAGCAACATTCGCCAGGTCCAATATTATGGTGACATCTGAAAGGAGGTAAGGATGGATCAACCCATCGGAAAAGAGCGCCACACTCCCTTAAAGGTCCTTACTTGGAGATGTACCCGCCGCTCCCTAGGCGGCCGGAGGAGAGGAGAGGCTCCTGGTGCAGCTCTCCGCCGCCCCTAACTCTCTTAGGCGCCCCTAAGACTTAGGCCCTCTTGTACTGGAAGCTCATCACGCAGGTTTGGATGCATGGGTTCCGCTTTATACTCTCGAGGTATGCCAGTGATTAGACTCTGTATGCACCATCTACGTGCGTTTAACGCACCCTGCGATGAGGCTCCAGCATAAATGTCTTCCTTAGCACTTATATCCAGGGAGTTCTCAGAGCTGCACACCTGCCCGTGACACTACTCCAGGCACGTCCCGCCTGTGGTTAAATCCACGGACTCCACTGACCCGTATCCCCGCATGGGGAAGGCAGAGGAACGGCCTATCTGGGGAGGGCCTAGCCTGTCAAGCCCCTGCAGCCACCAGTAGAAGTAATCTGGCCGTCCGGAGCTCCAGGATATACTTGACACGTTCACCTCTGGAGCCGCCACCACCCTCCTCCCTCAAACCAGTCAGTGACGTGAGCCCCCGCCCCCAGTCCTCTCGCCGGGATCCGGAAAGCCAGGAAGCGCTGGAATGCCGCGTTCTCTCACCCTATTGTGCCTAGGTGTTGCAAACCACTGGAGGACAGAGCTTCGTGCTTTGATCTCATGTCCCAGTCATTCTTTAGCACAGAGGGGTGAGTTTAAATTAAATTTCTTTCTCTGCTGATAAGTTCTAATGGGCCTCAGAAGGTGAATAATTATGCAGTAACATTTCATGGGTTGTTGGAGTGGGAATTCCCACTGTGCGGTCACAGGAACAGAATTTCCCCTGTAGCTCAATGCTAAATGAAGCTTCGCAAGTGAGCTACAAGTGTCTTTCAATCTCGGCGCAGATGATCTGGTCCTTCGCTGCTCTCATCCTGCTTTCATCCCGCCCCTACAAAGCAGTTTGTCGTCACTTTTTTCACTTAAGTTTTATTTGTGGTTTAAAAATATTTTTAAAGTCTCTACCGAAGGCTCTTATGTTTGAGGATTAAAAAATATTTGCTTTGATGATTAAGTATGCATTCTTATCAAGATAAAGTACACGTTGATGAAAGCTGGGACTGAATTTTCCTGGAAAAAGGCAGATGAGTCACCTGGGATTTGCCTCCAAATGCCTGGACT